AATGAAAAGAAAATCCCTGGCCACAATGCTACACAGTACATAGTTCTACAACTTCTACTGAATAAGAAGAATTTCGCAGTAGGGGTTGGCGCGCGACCATCATTCTTCAGAGTTCAAACATCGAACCCATTCACAATTTGGTGATTCCCAAGTGCTAACACGATACGCGATTGTGTAAATGATTTTCACCGTGTCCACCAAGCAAATATGGAAAATTCTGCCATGTCAGACAGAGATCTTCCCATGAGCATAAACAAAACCATTTCGTTCTGGGCTCGACCTACTGGAAACGAAAAAGGCTGGTAGCTCCGGCCGAAAAGGTGCGATTTTGTGCCATCAACATTCCACAAAAACCGTTGTGCAGCAGAAATCGGCATCCCGGAAAGTACCGATCGTTTAACGACACACAGACAACAGTGGAAATTACTACCCAGTTTGGGCCCTCTGTGCATTACTCGCATTAGGGGTGGCTTTCCTGGATCCACCTGTCCAAAATGATGACAGTCGGCTGAGTCAGGTTCATTAAGCGAAGTGCTGGAAAGAATACCCCGTTGCACCGCCACTGTACTGCCCAGCTCCTACGCATGCACCCTCCGCTACATGAGCACCAGTACATGGGCACCTAGGCCGCAGGCCTGACACCTCAAATTCAGGAGGTGTGAAACGAAAACGCGACTGTCGGCTCTGTTTTCTTGTGGCAACAAGCTTCGCACTGCAAGGCTGCGGCCGTGTACTCGTGCTTTAAACCACCGCCAGTACACGGCCCCTTGTTACCTACTCTGAACTTTTTGGGGCTCGGCGGGAGTCGGCGCCACCGGACCACAATGGCCGGCGGCGCCAGCCAAAAACGAAAAGAAGAGCACCACTGCCGGTTCAGACAAGCGTGGCACACAGTGCAGCGCTTCCAGGCCCGGGTGGACTGGTCGTGTAACCCAGTGCTACAGATAGGCTCCCCCTGCCCCACCAAAAAAGCCGGCGACAACTGGCCACCCGACCGCGATGGCCGGCGGCACAAGCCAAAAGCTTCGCACTGCAAGGCGGGGCTCGGCGCCACCGGACCACAATGGCCGGCGGCGCCAGCCAAAAAAGAAGAGAAATGCACCGCTGCCCATTCAGAAAAGTGTGGCACACAGTGCAGCGCTTCCAGGCCCGGGTGGACTGGTCGTGTAAGCCAGTGCTACAGATAGGCTCGACCTGCCGCACCAAAAAAGCCGGCAACGCCTGGCCGCTGGACCAGGATGGCCGGTGGCACCAGCCAAAAACGGAAAGAAGTGCGACCCAGGTGGACTGGTCATGTAACCCAGCACTACAGATAGGCTCAACCTGCCCCACCAAAAAAGCCGGCGACGCCTGATAGGCCTTCCCATATGGAGTTCCGTATTTTCGGGGGTGGGTGGGCAAAACCGCACATTGGAAACAAGAGACATCTAAAACCATTACTGTCTCTCATGACCACCCAAACTCTCAGCTATATGATAAAATGGATGTAATCGATGAATGTAAACATACTAAACAACATACGCCTTTCAAAAACGAGCCGGCTGACGGTGAGAACCATGTAGAGCCTCAACTTATGGCCTTCTAAAGGTTCAGCAGATGAAGCTCAGGGCCAAGGATGTTTCCAAGGTCATGCTTACACTTGGTTCGCAAAGAATCTGGCTGGAGTTGCGGTCAGATCCATACAGAAAATAAACATGCAAGTTACTCCCCCCCCCCCCCCCCCCCGGACATTCTTCGTCAGATACATATAAGAAAAGAAAATCTGGTGGGAGTTGCAGTCAGATCCGTACAAAATCTGGCTGGCGTTGCAGTCAGATCGATACAGAAAACCCTTGGGCAAGTACCCTCTCAGACATTCATCATTAGACAAGACACACACCTCAGCAAGCAAAGCCGTATATGTGCGTACAACAACAATGATTTCAGCAAATCTCTCGAGGGGACAGAAAATAGCCATCCCAGCTCTGCTCCCATGGCAAAGGCTGCCATGTTAGCTACAGATCACAAGATCAAGGCCATAAAAATATTACAAAACAATAACGATTCCATCATTTCAGAGTTCCGTCGGAGGGCAGAAAATTGTCCAACTCACACTGTTACCTCGTACGGCAAGACGTTGGGAGTTCTCGGCCCCAAAATATATTCTGCAATCCAAAAAAAGCTCTCGGTCAGTGCCACATCAGCTCCCCTAACCCTGCCCCTCAACACCAACAAATCCTCTGTACACGATCGCCGCCTCGTCCGTGCAACTGACAAAATGCAGGTGCCACCGTGCCAGTCCAACTGAGGCAAAGTCTGATGCACTGTGCATCGGCACCCTGACAGCTGATAAAAAGCGCCCTACTTGTGGCGATTCCCCCACCAGCCACAGTTAACAAAGGAACCTGCAACGGCGAATCGAGAGACACACTGACGAAATGGTTCTCGCCTATAGACAGCGACGTCGCCCAACTAGGCAAGCAGAAGATCGCCACGATAATGAAATGAAGGTTGTACCAACATTTTGTTTTGCTGCCAAACAGAGAGGCAGTCAGAGTGTCAGAACCCTTCCGTTCCCCGCGATGGACAATGCAACCGGACAGCACACTCTGTCGCCCATAAGCCTCACTCTGGCAGTTCCGTAGTCCCAACTTGTTATGGACACGTCGATCTTGTCTCTGGGGCAAAACCATTCGATGCATAAATGCACTTCATCGCTCGTTACCCCGCATCACATATGTACAACCGCACAAATGGGAATGCCCATGCATGATTCCACAACCTGTCTCTTATACACATCTAGATGTGTATAAGAGACAGCACACACACACACACACACACACAAACACACACACACACAATCATTTTTATGTATGTGTCTTCTTTGTTCTTTGTACAACCCTTTTCCCACGTTTTTCGAAAGTACTTTGTGTGTGACTAAGCACGCACCTCGAACTAGCGTGCTAAACAGTCGTGGATTGCTGCTGCATCCAAGCCCGTCTTTCCCGCTGCTGCATGAGGGCATTTCTTTTCCTTTTCAACTTGTGGAGCCAGCCATGCTGGTCTGGAAGGCAGAGACCCTATCAATGCAGCAGGCGCACCGCTGCGTTCAAGCAAAATAGCTGCAAGATGTAATGGTGGTTTAAATGGGATCATGCACACACTGTCGAGGGGGTCAGTGCAAGTCTGATGAAACAGTCTTCCCCATTCTTCTGTGCGGTTTTTGTTTTTCAGTCTACTACTTCGTCAGTCTTTCACCCTACCAAGTGATATCTCCAAGAGCTTGGCCCACAACATTCACTTCTAAACAATGAAGAGTAATGTGAGAATTGTACTTCGGTCTTTGTGCACTCCTGAGAGGTGGCTGCCTGAAGTACAACCGTGCTGTATTAGAGGTATGCGACAACACGCAAGCTCTCGGAATACAACTGTGTCATATATTGGAGATTATGACAACAAGTGTACAACAGTGTTGTACTGCAGATATATGACAAGAGTGACCGCTTGGAGAACACCCGTTAAACCACCCACTCCACCCGACGTTGGAGAGTTCGGGGACTGGTATAGCACAGGTTAAACCACCAGTACCTGGCCCAGCTATCGGACGCGGCGCTTCCCGTATACGCGCCGCGTCGGGAGGAGTACGTTGCCGGTAATCACCAAA